TTCTTTCATGTGCTTATTAGCCTTTTATATATCTTCTTTGGAGCAGTAGCTATTCAACCATTTATCTATCTTCTTTGGAGAAGTATCTATTCAAAGTCCTTTTTCCATTTTTTAATTTATTTTTTTGTAAGCATTTGTAATGTATTCGACATGCAGGTTCTTTATCAGATATATGATTTGCAGATATTTTCTTTCTATTCTGTGGACTTTTTTTTAACTTTCTTGATGGTATATCCTTTGCAACATAATAGTTTTTATATTTTGATCAATTGTAACTTATTGAATTTTTGCCCTGATTTTACACACAAGGAAACACAGGGTATAAAAGGAAGCCCTGATTTAGAACAACTTGTGTTCAGGGGGCTGTATCTCTGCCTGTTGGCTCAGCATTTTATACACAAGGAATCAATCTCTCTCTCTCTCTCTCTCTCTCTCTCTCTCTCTCTCTCTCTCTCCCTCTCTCCTTTCTCTCTCTCTCTCTCTCTCTCTCTCTCTCTCTCTCTCTCTCTCTCTCATCTCTCTCTCATTTATTTCTTTTCCCTCACAGATTTTTTTCAACATATAATAAAGTGACAAGTAATGGCAGTGAGAAAACCAGTAGCACTATTTATCAATTTTAGGCTGTATTATAACGCATAGAGTAAATTATTAATGAATAAGACAGCATGATAAAGGACCCCAAAGTGGCACGGAGAGCTTCTGAGGCAATAGGAAGAGCCCCACAGCTGCTGCCTTGATGGGTAAAGAGTGTGTGTGCATAGGTCAGCTTTGCAGCAGTTGCTAAAATGTCAGCTTGTTACTTTACAGATACACTGGAGTGTCTCTGATCACTCTGAAAAATTGGCACGATGCTCATTGTGCACATTTTTAATAAGTCTTCAAAAATATTAATGTCTAGAGAGTGATATAAATTTAGGCTGGATTAGAGATCCAGAGCCTGGTTTTTGGCATAAATTTTAATGCATCTGGGGAAAAAAGGTTGAGATCAGCATCTTCACTCAATGGTTTTGCCAAGGAAGCCCTGACTTGGAACGATGCTCTTGTGTTCAGGGGCTGCGCCTCTGCCTGTTGGCTCAGCATCTACTGGGGTTCTGGCCACATCTGCATTGCCACACAGGCATTAGGGCTTCGGTACAGTCTGTAGTAATTTTGGAATTACTGTCTTGAAGGATATATCTRTGCATAGCTGACTCACCACTTCTCAAATTTAAATTATTAGCCACTAAATATGATCTTCTGGTAGTTTTTCTTTCCCATGGGTATAGACTATATCAGGGTATCTTGCCAGCACTAGAATATTCTTTAACAGAACTACAAAAAAGACTTTTATGTAGTCTTTAAGATGCACATCAAGTAGTGAAAGCCTTTGTATAGAAGAATATGTCTATTTGTCTGACAATTCTGGTATTTACTCATGTTCTGAGGTCCCCCACCACCACTTTGGTATCCTTAACATTGGTAGTTCTAATTCTTCCTTGCCTGAAGAAATCCTAATCCACCATGAGCATCTCAGGCGACAGAGGTAAAGCCTTTCTCAACCATTTCATTCACATGCCCAGGAATATAGGTGTATCCCCAGGGTAGCACATATTTCACCTTTACCAAGGTGGTATATGAGCTAGTTGACTAGAGCTTTGATTATTCTCTCATTTCCTCCTTGTTGCTTGCTCTACTCACTCTTCCCACCTCAGAATAGGATCTAGGGGGCACATGCAGAATGCCTCAAAGCTTTGCTGATGTGAAGTGGCATTTTACTTTTATCCAGTGGATATGTTGCTGACCAACACAGAAGAAAAGGCTACATTTTCTTAATACTAAATTCTGTGCCATGCCTGTATTGGTAAATTTCCAGAGATTCATGTGTTTTTGAATATTCTCTTCTTAAAGGTCTTTACAACCTACAAGGGTTTGATTACATGGTCTGTCTGCCGTTATCCCCCTTGTTCCAGGGGCAAGTTTCCCAACAGAGTGTCAGTGGTGCTTTATTGCATGGGTGTCAAGTTCAGCTTCTGTTGGAACAGCTTCACTGAATATGTGTTTTCAAAATATTAAGACACATGACTTGGAAAATGGAAAGTTGGGAAATGCAGTCAGTTTCATTGTCATTCAAAAAACCTCTGTTGCTTTTCCCTGGGACAGYATTAAACATTGTCGTTGATAATATAAGGATTGGCAATAAGACTTACTCAGGCCAATGGGATGTGACAGGAAGTATGTGTAGCTCTAATATTCAATAAGTATATTGAATATTTTGTGTACTAAACTCAGCTAAAAAGTCACATAAATAAACTAAGTATTCCTATTTTTAATTCTTTTTGTATATAAGTGATTTAATTCATAACCTGTCATTGTTTAGGCATTTATGTACATGTTGCTATATGTGAAAAAAAATACATGATTTCACAAATTTAACCCTGGGAACTGTACAGCTTACTAAAGAAGATATTATTATGGTATACACTCAAAATTAGACTTTTAATAAGAAAGAAAATAATTCAAGAAAATGATCATTTACACTTGGAGGGATGAAGAAGAAAGGAATCATGGAAGATGTAGCATTTGACCAAGGCCTTGAAATATGGATGGGAGAAGACATTATTTTAAGAACAGTGAGTTTGAATCAGTAGAGTCAGGAAATACAGACAATTATTTTGTGTCTGGGATAGCAATGAGTTTCAATGCTGTGCTTCTGAAATGYGTGGAGGGAGCAGTGTCAGGGGCCTAGAGATAGCAAACCCTGTGGCGAGGGTCCTCAAATAGCATATCATGCTAGTGTTCCATATTTACACAGAATGGAATGTAAAACAACAGAGCTGTACTAAATCCATAGAGAGGRAAGCCTCATTCCATTAATGGTATTTCAAAAATTGGTTGTGTATGGAACAAAAAGCCATACTTTTATGTTGTGTGAAACTCATAATCGCCAACTCTCAAAATAAGTTTGCAGATAGATTGTGAATTTTTATAARCCTAAAAATCAAAAGAAGTGAAATGGATAAATGCAATCACATGCAAAAATTTAAGCATCTACATGGCCTCCACTTAAAACTATTTTAAGTTTTAAAATGAATAACTAGGAAAATACTTGCAGATGATACAAGTAAGGATTAGTATATGAAAAACTAAGTGAAAGGTAAAAACAGTAAGAGGGAAAAGAAATGAGAAAAAAATAAATAATTATGAGAAAATAAGATTAAATACAGAGGACAAGCAAAATATTTAAAGAAATCAATCAAAGGGACACATTTGTTTCTCATGAGAATTAGCAAAAGTGAAGAGATGTACATTACTATCATGTTTGCAAGGCAAGATAGGTGCTTTTGTAAAGTGCTGATACTGTCAGGGTACATTGGTATGATTCTTTTGCAAAGATATTTGATAATGTATATGAAAGCCTTACACACTGGCTTAGCAAGTTATCTTTTGGCATATTCATCCTAAGGAAATAAGCCTAAATGGATCAAAAGAGCTCTGCTCAAAGATATTTAGTTTTATAAAAATGGAAATCACCTAAATCTATAGCATTGAGGAATTGGTATTTATAAACTATAGATTTCATGTGTATATATTTGATGGAAATTTTGAAATTGTGTTTACAGTTTGTGACAACCATGAAAATATTTATGTGATGATGATGATGTGATACATGCATTGATCAGAGAAGAAACACACACACACACACACACACACACACACACGAAAAGACTGGAAGAAATTCCCCAAATTGTTAAACTTTGTGTTGAGTTTATTAAGTGATTTTTTTTTCTCTTTTATATAATCCTGGCTGAAAGTGTAGTTGATAATAAAATAGGAAGCCAGGGTATAAAACCATTCATCTTCTACATAAAGGTAATAGTTTTATGAGTGAATCAGACTGCAAATGAAAAGAATGCAGGGACAAACACAGACAGAGACATGGAATAACTTCTGGAAAATGCATGTATTTGGGGGAAGGAGAATAGGACTCTGTCAGTCTTACAGACGAAGGAATAAGAAAGGCAAGGTCTCCTGAAGCTAAGAATAGAGGCAATCTCAGGCAAAGTGGACCACCCATCAGCAAAAGAGGGAGGAGGGTAACGGAAGTTGGCAATTGGCAAGGCCACTGAGTTTTCATGGATGGAACTTCAAGCAGTTTTGTGAGAATCCAGGAAATAAAAGACAAATATAACACTAAACATGACATCCCAAATGGGCTATCTTCTCACTCTTTAATAGCGGTAGTGGTAGAATTCTAAGATGTGCTTTCAGAATGAAGCAATAAGGTTTATTGCTAGATTCTGCATATAAGAAAATGGGCAGAGGCTGGGGAAGTAGCTCAGTGGTAGAGTGCTTGCCCATCCTGTGCAAGACGCTGGCTTTAATCCCCAGCACCTCCCAAAGGAAAGAGAAAAGAAAAAGAAAACAGACAAGTATTTCTCTAAGGATCTCCTTAGTACCTTTTCTGTGGCCAGAAAGAGCTTCTCAGTGTATATTGTTGATCTCCATGGAACTGAACTTCTCTGCCCCTCTAGTTCTCAGGATGCCCTTGAACTACTACAGTTGGTCTAGGGTCAGTGCCTCCAGTACCTATGCTCAGAGTCCTCTGGATGACTGACAAAAGTTGTTTTGCCCAGTAAGTCTTAAGTCGAATCTCCCTTGTCAACAATGGATGAGAAGGGGACAGTCATCCATGAAAAAATAAACAAGGTATTTGGCGTTATTCTGTATTCTAAGTTTAAAACTTCCCCCAAAGTTTTCCCAGGGACAGTTCCCAGCTGAGCATTTAGCCTTAGAAGACTATCCTCATTAGTCAGTCAGTCTATCTTTAAAAATAGACTGATGTACACTCCCTTTTCACTTCTATAAATACATTCAGGCGGATAGAAGCAAACCCCTGGGTTGTGGATTGACCCTCAGTCCTTGGGCTTTCCTGATGCATGCTGTTGACCTGTGGAAGTCAAAGCAAAACCATGTCTGTTTAGTCTCTTCACCAGAATAATATCCTTGTTGGTTTACTACAGGTGCCTATCCTCGACTCTCACTGAGTTTTCGGCTGAAGAGAAACATTGGATACTTCATCCTTCAGACTTACATGCCCTCTATACTGATCACTATCCTCTCGTGGGTGTCTTTCTGGATTAACTACGACGCATCTGCAGCTCGAGTTGCCCTTGGTAGGTGCTGCTTTTAACCAGTATCTAAACTGCGAAGTGACCATGTCATTATGGTATTAAGGGAGTTTAAAGGCTATGGTTCAGTGACGACTTTTTGACATCCCGACRCCAGTCTTGTCCATATAGTTACTTTTTTTTTTTATCTTGAAACACTAATTTCATGCACGATTCCCTTGATGTGTTAATTTAATTATAAGGCTCAAATGTGAATTTTCATGCCCATGAAAGGGAAAATATGCTTGCAGAATATTTGCATAATACAACTATTTTTGACACTAATTTTAAAGCTAGGATTAACATCTCCTGCTCAAAATTATTCCATGGCCCAGAAAGCAGACTTGATTAATTGTGTATTCTTTTTTAAGTAAGAAAAATAGTCAAATACTATAGCATATAATTGGAATTACACAATTTAATGAACATTAAAATAGGCAATTAGATTCTGAGCGGTTCCCAAGAATCTTAGTGATCTTTTCTGACCCTTGGTTATTTGGCAACTGGATTATTAGCTGGTGTACAATATATCCTATAGGTTCCAATATTATCTTTAATATTGATTTTTAAGGGAAGGCTTATAGTTTCAGAAGCACCCTCTACTCAGCTAATTATTATGAAACTTCATGAACAAAATAAGTATTTGAATACATTTTAGGCAAGTACAGAGCTGATGAACAGTCTCCAGGCCATTCATCCTTTGGGTGGGGTTGGATTTAATTCCTGAAAGTGAAATTAGCAACAGTACTTTTAAAATTGATGGAAAAGCATTATCAACAATCTTGCTGATAAAGTAGTTAACAGAAAAGCATAAAAATTCAGGGTTCAAATTTTCTCATCTTGCATTCATTTTCCTGTTTATCAACATTCTTCAGGACCTTACATTGATTATCTTTTTTTCTGAGAGAGAGAGAGAGAGAGAGAGAGAGAGAGAGAGAGAGAGCACGCGCGCATGTGTGTAAATGTCCTAGACTTAAGCTATGTGATTTACACAGTTGTGTCTTGAAGATTAGACTTTGTCCCTAGGAAATAGCACACAAGTATAGTTTAAGGGAAAAAATCAGGGAGCTGTTCCTAAAGGTGTTTAGGTGAATTTAAAAAAAAATACTTTAAAATGTCAAAAAACTAAGAAGAACCTTGTATGAATTGTTATGTATTTCTAATGAGTATGGCAAGCAAAATTCTCTTTAAAAATTCTCTAGTAGTTCTCCACAGCTGGAAGTGAATGCATTGTAACCTCAGTCTTATGTAGGTTTTACTTGGTTTTCATTTTAATATTTCTAGATTACTCTTTGTTAAACCATTTTCATTTTTCTCATTTGCAAAAGTCAGATGTACAGTGAATTTGTAAAATTTCCAAATTTTGTGGAACYGTGTGCTTATACAATTTTAGGTTGTTCCTTTTAAGAAAAGCAATACAAAACATGTAAATGCAAGATTGCTGGGTCCTCTCCCCAGACCTAGAAGAGGTCTGTGCAAGTGGAGAACTGGAGCTGAAACTACTTTAGCTTCAGAGTGAATATCTGCAGGGACTTTGTGATTAACTGCAGACATTAGAGAAATATGAGCACCAAAGAGCCATAATTATCTGGCATCATCAGGGGTGAGGTGTACTGAAAGTGTCAATCTCTTAAGTTTCCCAGCTACTACAAATTCTATACCTTCTTACTTGTAAAATATTGTCTTCCACAATATGAAACAAGATAAAACAGGTAATCTATCCAAAATGGGTTGTAATCAATCCAACCTCATTATGATATATGACAGTAGATTCTACATTTTCTTGACACAGCATTATTATTTCAGGCCTAAATTATGTCTCTGTGGCTTTGTGAGGATGAAGAAATGTTCTGGATGGATTTCCTAAGGTTTCACCACTAGAGTACTATCAGTTTCTTCCAGGTTAGAGATCAGAGATGCAGGCTGAGGGGCAGGAGTGAGTAGGTATTTATGAGTCATTAACTTGAGGCCCAGAGGTCAAGAAAAAAAGCCATGATCACAGGGCTGCAGGTCCAGTAGGTCCAGTCCTGCTCTCAGCCTTGGACAGCACACTTATCCCCTCTGTCCCTCCCATCAGCATAAGATCTGTCTTAAATCTGTCTGCAGGTATAGAACCCAACTGGCTAAGGAAAATATGTCATAAGGTCAGGAATATAGAATATCATCATCATCATCATCAAAACAACAGCAGCAAAGATAAGGCTGAAACTTACCAAATGCATTCTCTGCTAAGGCTGTTAGTGTAATCACCTATTCTGCAGAAGATCCATTGCAGAAGAGGCAGATCCACTGCTCCCATTTTGCAGAGCAGGAATATGAGGTACAGAGAAACTAAACGAATGGTATAAAGTCACAAAATTACTAACAGTCACAAGAGAGATGTCAGTACAGTTACTCTAACTCTAGGGCCTCTCCCTTAACCACTGTAGGTGCTCTTGTCCTCCCTTATCTTTGCTTCCCCTTTCTGCCGTTTTACTTAGCCACATCAACTGTGATCTGAAAATATTCAACTAGAAATAAACAGTTCATGTTTTAAATAACTTTTATTACAACATATTATTATAATTGTTCTCTTTTATTATTAAATATTGTCACTAATCTCTTAGTGTGTCTAATTTATAAATTAAAACATTGCCATAGGTGTGTACATATAGGAAAATCTTAGAGGTTAGCACTATCTATGACTGCAGGCATCCACTGTTTGTCTCGGAATAGATCCTTGTGGATGAAGGGGGACTACTTCATTCCTAATGTGCCAATAGATACAACATTGAAGAGTTATTTGGTCTACTGCATTGTAAACACCATGGATTTTTTTAAAGGAAAAATAAAGCTAAGCAAGTATAATTATAATAATAATAATTATTATTATTATTATTTTTATTATTGGATCCTGCTATAAGAGGATATGGCCATGGTTATCAATTTGGGTTGGAGAAATCTCCATTCTACCATCTCCTCCCTGATCATCTTGTTTCACATCATGCTTTTGAAACACTTGGAGTGCTGTTTGCATTCATCCCAGAGGGTTGCACTATGGTAAATACATCTGATTTCCAAATGAGGTCATGACAGTGTAGCGTCTGCACAGACAGAGGGGTRCTTAGCAAGGACCTTTATGGGATGTTTTCCCTTGGACTCCAGGCACTGAAGAACCTAGAACTGACAGGTGGGGGTTAGGGGCCGACTGGAGGCTTGTTCCAATGTTTCCAGCGGTGCTCAGCTGCTCTATACACTGCAAGACTTTATGCTTCTGTTTCCCAGGATCTGACCCCCAGAGAYATTGAACTGGTAGTGTTAACAACCACCACACTGTGAAACATTGTCATAAGAGGGTCTCCCTCAAAACCTTGAAGTCCAGTGATTGGTAAATAACAGTATCTGTGTTTTAAGGGTGGAATTGTATAGTAATATAATTTAGGTCACAYTATTTGGATCAAAAGAAAGAGAAATAAAATGTTTTGATTATATGATGCTCATAAAAGCTACTTTTATTTCATAGTGATATTTATACATGCAGTTTTTTAAATAAAGTATTTCATTAGCATAATCTAAATGAGAAATAAATTGAGGCTAGCAATCAGTGGAGAATCATACCAGCCTGKTAAGTGTACAAAGACTATGAAAGCCACTACCACCCCGCCAGTGCTCTAGTCAGATGTGTCTCCTTAGAAGGTAGTTTAAGTCCAGGAAACCTAAAGCCACTGAAGAATTGTTTTCTGAGATGTTGTTAGTATTAATGCCAGTTACCAGTTATTAGCACATAACCAGTGCTTTTTAGACATTGTCTTTAGACTTCTTAATAGCAACTGATAATTGAGTTGGAGTTGGACTTTGGGTCTGTGCCATGTCACTCTGCTATCCATGCTGTGAAACACTATAGTACCTTACTCTCCATAATATCTTAGATAGCAAGTAAAACAGAAGAAAAATTTTGCAAATGTAGACTGAGAGTTCATATGAGCCCCAACTGGAAAGTCAGGAGCACTGTGTTAGTTCATTTTTCATTGCTATACCCAAATACCTGAGGCTGGGTAATATGTAAAAAAAAGATATTTATTTAGCTCACTGTTTAGTAAATGTTAAGAGCATGGGAGCAACTTCTGCTCAGCCCTGATGAAGTTTACCTTGACAACCTCACAACTTTACCTTGATGGCATCAAGGTGGTAGTACACCTGAGAGGAAGAGGCCACATGGCCATATGGGAAGCTAGAGAGCAGGGAGGGGTCAGTTTTGCTCTTTTAGAATGACCCACTCTCTCAAGAACCAAGGTGTCCCATGAGACTACTTAACCCCTTCTGAAATCAGTTCTCCAACCACCCAACAAACTTGCACAAGGCCCCACCCTTTAAAGATTCCACAATTTCTTAACAGTGCCATTCTGGGGACCAAGCTTTCAACATATGACACTTTAGGGGTGGGTACAGTCAAGCCATACTCAACCTATAGCAGCCATTCACTAAAGAGTCTTATTAAAGTAATCCTTGATCCTGTGCTGATGGACGTAGGGCCAGATCACAGCCCACACTCCTCAGGATCTCACTGACCAGGCTGAGATCCTGTGAGATTGGCTGATTTGTCCTCATCTAGGTTTTCAGCCCATTTCCTGGTGATATCTACTGAGGCCTGTGTACACATTCCCATTCAAACTTCTCAGCTAGAGAGGCAGAGTACCAATTAAAGAAAAGCATTCAGGCTTCCCAAATCCATTTGGAAGGGGGAAAAAATAGTAGCAGCAGCAACATTACAAAAATTTTGAATAATGTCAAGAACGCTTAATTTTGTAGCATTTGTATGGTGTTTTTTTTTTCATTTATTTGTAAACTGTAATTATCCCATTGCCATGTTCAAATTTTAAAAAGTCCCCAGGTGCACATGAATGTGATGTTAAAGGAAACTCTTAAAATATTCTAACATCTTAGATTTCCATACATTCCATAAGCAATCGTGGTTTGCAGTAACACATAAAAATAGCTTCCCCATTCTTCAGTTCTCTTCTCTGCTGTTAGTAGCAGTGCAGAGCTCGGTGGAGAGAGAGAATTTGTTGGAGATAAGGACTTGGCTCTCTTCCCTGCTCTTCAGCTTCTCACAGGCAAACTGAGCTCTGTAGTCTCGAGGTCCTCCCACAGGACACAGAGGCTCAGAATTCATGCCTCTGAAGATGGAGTAGGAAACCAGAGGGCTTCAAACTAAGATGCTTCACAAATGGCTGTGTGTATAGTGGCCTGGGCTGTGACTCAGAACCTCTGTCTTGGGATTGCTGACCTATCAGGCTTGCACTGCATCTCACAATCGGGTACAATAGTTAATTTTTAGCTTACAGGGATTGAACAAGTCTATTACCGTGTGAGGGGAAATTGTAAAATATGGCTCTTAGGTTTAAAGACTAAACTGAGTTTCATTAGGGAAACAGTGAGATCATTCACACAATACTATATAAATAACTCAGCAAAATTACAAAAACAAATTTTAAAGAACTTGATCAGTTGTCACAGAGTATGACAAGATTCTATAATATGAGCAATACCATTACCCCTTGATATAAGCAAACCTTTCCTGAACAGGTTATGTGTAGTACAGACTCTTGATTAAGGAAGGAAATAAATGACTGTGAGATGGTCAGTCCTTGGGAACTTTGCCCTACTGCTTCCTTATCTTTGAGCTGATAAGTGGACCTCATCCAAAATGACATATTATAATGATGATGATAATGGTAATAATAATAATAATAATAATAATAATAGTTCATTTTCTCATTTCTCTTGCTTCCAGTTGACATTGAAGTTGCGATTTATTTCTCCTGACAAGCATCATTATCCGTCTTCTCTCCAACCATTGACCTCATCCTATTCATTCTTCTTCCTGGGGCTTTCTTATCAAGACACTTATTGCTTTATGTTGAATTCTGGATGATTTTCATTTCTTTGAACATTCATAAGGAGCACATTCTTTCTAGCTTCCCTACATATCTATCCTTCCATTCTCAAACATCCATTCTCTTTATTGGTAAAGTGTGTTGGAGGCAATGCCCCCACATGGTCTCACTTCCCCAGAGTAGAGATGTAACCCTGCTGTTATGAAGTGTGACAATGCTGTCTACATGACACACTGCAAGCTCCGTTGGTTCCAGTTGCCCAGTAACATTCAGTCATGTTATCCAAGTGCTTTAAGGTATTTGAGAAAACATAAAAAGGGAAGACAGGGGCAGCAAAACCACAACCACTCATAGCTCTGTTTGTTTCCTAGGGATCACAACTGTGCTGACGATGACAACCATCAACACACACCTTCGGGAAACTTTGCCCAAAATTCCCTATGTCAAAGCCATTGACATGTACCTGATGGGCTGCTTTGTCTTTGTGTTCCTGGCCCTTCTGGAGTATGCCTTTGTCAACTACATTTTCTTTGGAAGAGGCCCTCAAAGGCAGAAGAAGCTTGCAGAAAAGACAGCCAAGGCGAAGAATGACCGTTCAAAGAGYGAAAGCAACCGGGTAGGCCCCCCACCCCTGCAGCACAACAGTTACTGAATTTACCTGCATGACATTTGAATGCCAGTTGTGTGGGCTCCTTGATCATAATCTGAAATGTTTCTTTGTGCAAGTCACCGAGTTCACATCAAACCCATGTTAGTACAGATGCTGGAGAAGTTAGCATCTTCCCAATTTCCTATAAAAAGAACAGAATGGGTAGATCCGGAATGAATGAAACTTTGGAGCATGGGGCTCAAACTTAATGTATGGAAGCATCTCTCCAGGATGATTCAGTATTCCAGTTGTAAAATTACTGATTTGAACGTTAGCCTGCTATGGCTCCAGGCAGTATAGTAGACAGACATGGCACTTACCACCCTTCTTCTGGCCCACAGTTCCCTGGAGAAAAATCCAAAGTGCACAATGAGGAGGCTGGGGTTGTGGCTCAGCAATAGAGCACTCGCCTAAGCATGTGCAAGGCACTAAGTTCGATCCTCAGCACTACATAAAAATAAATAAATAAAATAAAGGTATATAAAAACAAAGAACACAATAAGTGAGCAGGGCTCTGTGCAGGTGGTTTTGGGGAGGAGCTGGGTGTATTCCACAAAATGTCAGGGCTGGTTGTACCTCAACAGCAGTGGCCCAGGAGGACGAGGAGGACATACTGCCTTGGGAAGCCCTGGGCTCTCTCCCCAAGAGAGCACCAGAGCACAAGCCAGGTATGCCTCCTTCACCCAGCTCCTCATGCAGTTGCATCCTTCTAATCACAAAGTGACTTTGTCATTAAATATCACTTCAATTTATTTTAAATGAAAGCAGTGGTTTATTATAATTGCAAACAATATTTTAGTGAAAGCATATTGTAGTTTCTAGATAATTTTTCTTTTTCATCAACTAATTTATTTATTTTAATTATATATATATGACAGTAGAATGCATTTTGATTCATCGTACACAAAAGCAACACAACTTTTCATTTCTCTGGTTGTACATGATGTAGTGTTGCACCATTTGTGCAGTTATACGTGTACCTGGGATGATGATGTCCATCTCATTCTACCATCTTTCCTGCTCACATGCCTCATCCCCACTCCACCTTCCCCTTTGCCCCACCAAAGTTCCTCCATTTGTCCCATGCCTCCCCCATTAAGAATCAGCATCCACTTATCAGAGAGAACATTCAGGCTTTGGTTTTTTTGGGATTCACCTACTTTGCTTAGCATGACATTTTCCAACTCCATCCATTTCCCTGCAAATGCCATAATTTTTTTCTCTTTTAATGCTGGTATATATACACAATATCCATTGTGTATATATACCAGAGTTTCTTTTTACATTCATCTATTGAAGGGTATCTAGGTTGCTTCCACAGTTTAGCTGTTGTGAATTGAGCTGCTATGAATATTGATGTAGCTGCGATACTACAATATGCTGATTTTAAGTCCTTTGGGTATAGACGGACCAAAGAGTGGGATAGCTGGGTCAAATGGTGGTTCCATTCCAGGTTTTCTAAGGACATCATTATCCCAGGTACACATAATATTTCCATACTGCTCTCCAGACAGATTGCACCAATTTGCAGACCCACCAGCAATTTCCTTTTCCCACACATCCTCGATAACATTTATTGTTGTCTGTATTTATGATAACTGCCATTCTGACTGGTATGAGATGAAATCTTAGAGTAGTTTTGATTTACATTTCTCTAATTACTAGAGATGTTGAACATTTTTTCATATATTTGTTGATCAAATGCTCCTCATAGAGGAAAAAGTAGTCCTAAATCTTCATTATGTCGGATTAGGCCCTGACTTCATTAACAAGATTCCTAAAGCGCAAGAAATAAAATTAAGAATTAATAAATGGGATTGACTCAAACTAAAAAGCTTCTTCTCAGCAAAAGAAATAATCAATGTAAACGAAGAGAGAGCCTACACTTTGGGAGCAAATTTTTGCCACGCCCATCAGACAGAGCACTAATCTCCAGGATATATAAAGATCTCAAAAACCTTAACACCAAAAAACCAAACAACATGATCAATAAATGGCTTAAGGAGCRGAACAGACACTTCTCAGAAGAAGACATATATTTGATCAACAAAGATATAAAAAAATGTTCAACAKCTCTAGATAATTTTTCTAATTGATCATTTCACTTCTTTCATTCCCTCAAATCCTCAAGAATATATTTCAACTTGTTTACAGATTGGCCTTGTTCCTACGTTTCTTTTGGTTTTTAAAATTCCCATTGTTAAARCTTCTTCTGTCTCAAGACTGTGGAGATTTCCCTGCACTTTCCCATTCCATGGTGGGTCCGCCCCTCACAGGGAGTGAGCAGCTCCTTGGAGTATTGYCTGTGCCGGTGGCCCAGAATAGTCTGCAAATGTTCATGAATGAATGGAGGCATGTTAAATGAATGTAAATGGCTCCCTTCCTTTCAGCAAAACATAAATAGAGTTGGTCTGAAAAACCCAGGATCTGTGAATAAAACTAGGCTTTCTATAGGCAAAATTATCTTGAATTTCTTACTGAAAAATATACTCAGTACCATACTGCTATGTTTCTAAAGAGGTCTGCATCCTACTATGAATACACAATTTGCTTTGGCCGTGCTGTTTCCAAGGAAACTAGAATTCGTCACATCATTATTGTTTCCATGACAGAGGCACACATACACACACATACAAATACAATGCTGTCTCTCCAAATTCCTTCTCTATTTAAACAAATTATGAATTTATTTCCTTTTCTCTAAATTGAAGCTGTTTAGAATGGTCCAATTGTTGTGCTGCAGAAATACCTTTTTAAAGAGTGAAGCATGAAATTTTAAACAAAAAGACAAAAAACAAACATCTCTAACATCCACTGAGAAAATTAGCAGAATATAGACACAATATATTATAAATCAGATGCAAAGGAAATTTTCACTTGACTCATGAATCCATTTTTTGTTCTTCRTTTGTCAAAAAATTTGCTTCTCTGTTTTCCCAGAGGTTTTGGTAACCCTTTAAATGTTGGTATTTTTCAAAAATCTGTAATTGTTAATCAGCTCCTAAGATGTGAAGTCAATGTGAAAATGTATGTATTCTAATTTTTGATGCATACTTAATGCTTTTAAAGATAAGGACTAAAAAATTGTTCCTGACTCACCTAAAAATGCAGTGGTAATTTTTAAGTAGAAATTAACAACCCAAAAAGTTTATATCAAGTCATAGGGAAGAATATAAGAAAAGTGGGAAAAGTATCAGAGACCTTATGCAAAACAAAAGTGTCACTATACATACAGGAAAATAACTTCAACTGTCTTTTGCAAATATTGAGTCATTAATTTTTCCTCTAACATGTGGGATTTTTATCAGTGTGGCCAGCGATAGCCTGTAGCTTTTCCCTGATAGCTACTGGCTCTGCAGTAGGGACTCGGCTTATCTCTGTCTTTTCTGAGACCCCTGAGGCATGTCAGGGTGAGGAAGTAGCCTTGTGGCATTGTAGGCTCCAATAAGGAAACTAAACCACCAGTAACAGCCTCTAGAACTGTAAATTTATTGACCCTCCTGAGAGACCATGAATAAATTTTCCTTATATGTAGTGTCATGCCATATTCTAACTCAGTAATTGATCCATGGATGTTTGAAATGTTTGCATACTCACATAATTCCTCCTTAATCCAGTGATCTAATGTAAGCCCTGACTTTAAGTGATTTGTGCTTATGGTGTATTTGTTCCTGAGTTGTTTCTGTACCCAAGAATTAGTCTTTAGTTACAATGCACACATTATAGTTACAAGCCTTGTGGTATTTTCCAAGTTGTCCAGTTGGTATTTAAATTTCATAAGATGTCAGGAAGTCAAAATTCCTGTCAAGAAATCAGAACCACAGATTCAATACCATTCCTAATAAACAGCAAGATCTTGTTCCTTACATGACAAATCCTGTCTTATTCTTCTAAAACTAGAATCTTAACTGAAGCTGGAAGGTAAGTAGAGACTGAGAGAGCCACTATATGGCATTCYAGAGACATATTCCCTGAAAAAGGTCAAAGACCCCTCTGTGTATTCTGGATATTCTGGATAAGATATTAGTTTTTTGTTGTTGTTGTTGTTTTTTAAAGATTTGCACCTGTCAAGGTTCTAGAGCAGGAAGAAAAACTTCATTGAAGTCGATGATTCTAATCATAGTAGATATGAGATGGACCCTTGAACATAACAAATATTCATGAAATGTTTTAAATTGAAAGTCATTTGTCATTCTATATAGGGAATTACAGAATTCATATTTCACCACAGTCACTTATTTCTATTTTAAGACCTACATTATAGATGATAGAAAATGATGAGCATCTCTTTTGGAAATGTTTRTTTAAAATATTTAGTTTCTAAGATTTAACACATTTTAATAACCCTGTAATCATTTCAGGAAAAAAATTTGCAGGTGATTTTCATRTAAATTTTCTATACTTTGTTCACTTTTTAATGACACCATGTGAGTGTAAAACTATAAGGAGCCAAACTGTTTCCCAATAAGATCGTATTAGTTATTATACATTTACGGTATTTTGCATGCTAGAATAAGGCTTACCTGCACTATTGTTTCCAAATGTCTATCTACTCYGAAATAAGAATAATGCGAATTTCCAACAGTTCCCCAGTCCTATGGCACGTAAGACAGCTACAAACGATTCATAGAAGTCCAATGCATTCAAGAGCTTTTTAGTTTTGCAAATAATCAGTGAGATTCATAAAGAATTGGATGTAGCTTCCCTCAGGTGAAGCTTACCTCACTAGAGTTCAAAGGCAAATACAAATATACAACATGGACCACAAAGTCTTGGGACATTGATGCATGCAGATTTATCACTAAATCTTGAAAACTCAACCCAACACGCAATTGGCCTCATTTTTATGTGTTCTCCACTCACCCTGTGCAGTCTCTGAGATCACCATATATGTTCTCATCCYTTTGCCAGCTGTTACCCTGTTCTCTCTACCTGAACATCTTTCTTCTTGCCCAATGTCTTCCTCT